ACTCCTTTTTTGTTGTTGCGGATTGGGGTGACGCGGAATGAGAATGAAACTAAATGAAATGATGAACCTCCCGCACATTTATAATATGTTCCCTCGGAGTATTTACTCCGGACATGTGCCATGGAGAGTGAGCAAATGTTTATATATAAATATTTTTATTGATGTATCCGAAAATGAATATGCGTGAAAACGAGAATAACGGTGTGGTGATAGACGGGAAAGGAGACAGTCTGCTCCGTTTCATGAAGGCTTGGGTGGGTACGGCTTTATAATTCACGTGCGTGCGTGTATCTCACTTATTTGTCTTTGTTGTTGTACTGTCTGGGAAGTGCAGCTCTATTGGCCCGTATTTGCCTCCTCCTGTTTTATTTGCTTTGGTCTTGTTGCGCTAGGACACCAGTGTTAGTTGTTGTGGTGCACTACCAACGGATTGCGTGCTTGATCAAAGAACAGACACGTGACAACATCAAGAAAAGGTGGACGGTGGACGGTGGACGAAGGGGGAGCGGCGGTTGCGGGGTCCTAACGGCTGCCACGTTGTGGGTTCACGGCGATGCCTCAGTTTTTGTAGATTGTTTTCCGCAGCAATTGGTGTACTGGTGTGCGTGTGTGTTTGGTGGGTCTCCTCCGAGGTGGGAGGGTGCGCCCGCTGAGCCAAACTACGATCTCCTTGCTTTGTTCTTTCCTTGTGCGGGGAGAAGGGGCAAAGGCCCCCACCAGGCGGATCCTCCTCGCGGACGTGCCGCGTCATAAGATAGTGTTTGCTCCGCTGGTCGTGAGGTATCGTTGTCTATTATTGTGGTTAGTTTTGTGCGTGCGTGTTTTAATTGCGCTCGTGTGTAGGTCTGGAACTCTTCTCTTGCTTACTGAAGCCGGTGCGCCAGCTTGCGAAATGGCGGCGGCCCGGAGGCACTCGGTCATGAGGAGGCCGTCTGAGATGTTTGCTTCTCAATGGCTGTGCGAGCGCAGGCGTGAAATGCAATGAATTTTTTTTCTCTCACTTTTAGATGCAGATGTGCGTGCGCTTACGTGCACGAAAAAGCGTGATTCTTGATTCTGCCAGCGTGGCTTCAGTGCATGCATGGTTCATCTGTTTTGTTCTTCTGGATTTATGCTCCTGTTGCTTGTAGAACAGACAAAGGCATAACGAAGGAAAAAATGGTGCTTCAGGTGGATGATTTGTTCCGCATGCGGATGCTGATGGCCGGCGTGTACGTCGGGCTCAGCATTTCGTCTACGTACGGATTCAGCCTCTTCACGGATCACCTGAAGACTAAGTACGGGTATTCGCAGAGCGACATCACGACAATCAGCACCGTTGGAAATGTTGTGAATTTCGTCAATCTTCACGGTGGAGCGTTGTTTGACTCCGTGGGTCCAACGGTCGCGCTTCCGTTTGCCGGTGTCCTTGGAGGACTGGGCTTCTTAATGTTTGGGTTGACCTTTGACGGCACGGTCAAAACCTCGAGCGTGGCACTGTTTTCTCTCTACCAGGGAATCACCCACCTTGGCCTTCCGATTATGGACGTGTGCTCCATGATGACGCTGATGCTACATTTTCCCTTGGATCGCGGTTACGTGGTGCTGATCATGAAGACGTTCAACGGGCTTGGGACCGCAGTGCTGATGGCGTACTTCAACGGCTGGTTTAGGGCGGCGGACTTTCATAATTCCGAGGACAACAACTACTCCGGCTACGCGTACTTTGTCGCGGCACAAATTTTTTTTTGCTCCTGCCTCGGCGCTTACTGCACGCGGCTACCGATGTACTTTCCGTGCACATGGAGGAAGAAGCGCCTGAGTGCCGAGGAGCTCGCGGAGCGGGAGAAGACGCTTGACCTGTACATGAGCCAGCATGCCCCCTCGCGGCGTCTGTACATCGGATTTGGGCTTGTCGTCGTCATGCTGATATTTTCTGCCACGCAGTCGATTACGACGGCGTACGTGAAAACGTCCCACGCGGGGTACGTGGCGATCTCAATCGTGGCGCTGCTGCTGATGGCGGCATTCTCCTTGATGGCGGTGCCGTTCCAGTTTCTGGGCCGCTACAACCCCGTGCGTCCCACACGTATGGCGGGCATCGGCGAGGTGGCCACGGAGACAGCGCCGGAGCAGACAGATGGAGCCGTAGGTGCGAATGAGATGGTGGAGAGCAATGCTTCCCACAATAAGCAACCGGCCAAGGTGTGGCCGCAGTACAAAGGCTCCTTCTGGTCGCATTTGCTCTCCTTCCACATGTGGGCAATGTGGTTCACTTGCTTCGGCATGTGGGGTACCGGCCCAGTGATGCAAATGAACGTCGCCCAGATCAGCCGCAGCACGAACTATGGCGTGTATGACAGCCGGACTCTGACACTTTACATCGCCATCATGTCTGTGGGCACCGCTATTGGACGCATATCTGTGGGATACTTCGACACGAAGCTGACTGCGTGGAATCGTGCAGGCAAGACAAGAATTCTGACGACCATTGCGCTTCCCATTGCTCCCCTGCTGTTCGCGGTGGCGTACCTCTTCTTTGGTGTGGTACCTGGGAACGCCTTGCTGCTGCCGTTTTTGCTTGGGTCCTTCGGCAACGGCATTGCATGGGGTATCGGCATCATTGTCTCCCGGATGATGTATGCTAAGGATATTGGCAAGCACTACAGCTTCCTGCGTATCTCCGCTGCTGTTGCATCCATTGCGCTGAACCGCTTTTTGTTCGGAGGGATGTATGATGCGGAGGGGCGCAGGCGTGGTGAGTTGCCCTCATGCAACGCACCCTCGTGTGTGCGAAAGCAGATGTTTATTCTGATGGCCATCAACCTGTTGTCAACATGCGTGGCTGTGTTGGTGCACTGGCGATTTTCGCGCTTCACCCAGGCGAAGCTGGCCGAAGAGGCATCTTCAGCAAATGAAAAAGCGGATGTTGGGGCGGCGAGGGAGGAGCCTTCGGAGCCAGCGTTGAAGCAGGATTAGTAGTAGTATTTTTTCCTTTGTATTGTTTTTAATACATATGTGTGTTTATTGTGTGTTTATCTTGTTTGTGGTTGTGATGAACTGCGGGGTTTGGGCGTGGGTGGGTGTATCATGATGCGGAGAAGACACGCCTCGCCTCGCCCCTGTCGTCCTGCGCATGGACGGAGTATGTGGTGGCGGGCGCAGCGGCGATGGGGGTGTAAGTTGGCGGTGGGGTGTATTTCTTTTTTTCTCTGCGACTGCGGGTGGGGGAGCGCCGTTGCCCGCTGTTTTTGTTCCGCCTTCCCGTGCGGCGTGCTGCAAAGGGCGGTGGGTCTCTGTCTGTGAGGCTTCCCTTTGCAGCGCCGAGTGCGAGGGGCGGAGTACCGCAAGAACGAGGCCAGTGGTAGAGTGCGCAGGTGCAGTTACACTTGAGCACACAGAGAGGGCGAAAGTGCGCCGCAAGGAAAGCGGCTCAGCCGAGACGGATACACACCCACACATACACCCCCCTTATATAAGGAAAGAAGGATGAAAAGATAGGGAAACACAAATGTAATTCGGAGTTCAAAGGCCGCCACAGAAGCTTGGCCTTGCATTTCTGCACGTGAGGATTGCAGTTTTTTTTTGTTTTTACTGAGTATCCGGAAAGAGAGTGAAGCAGGTAGTAAACGAGAAGAGAACAGTCTTATGGTCAAAGCACGAACTCGCTAGTATATTTTTTGTTATTATTTTGGTTTTTTTAGTTTTTTTTGTTATTTTAGTTTTTACTAAAAAAAAAACTTTTTTTTTTGTTACCTTT